TAACTATTACTGTTATTAAACAACATATTATTGTTATTAAATACATATTGGAAAATATAGTTTTATATGTCATTGAGTAAAACAGAAAATTTCAGTAGTTAACTTGATGAATACTTACACGAATCTGAACTAGGAAATCTCTTAGATGGTCTTTGAATGCTGGAATATCTTGGTCCAAATTAAACAGTCCTTCCACAGTTATTTTTATCTGATTATCAGACAGATGAGGGAATGCAGTTTTCAGTAGATTTGCCACATATTCCTAGAAAAAATAAATAGATATTTAACCTACTGTAGACTTTACACATACATGAACTCTGACAAAAACGTTGATTACAAACAGGATTATTCCATAAATGTAATCCAAATCATTTTCATAAGTAGAACATAAACAAAAACATAGTAAAATATAAGTAAATACATTTAATTTTATCCAAAATACTCAAAAACAAAAGGTTTTTTTATAGAAGATTAGGAAAAACAAACAGTGGATTGCCTAATTTTAATTGATCTGACATCTGTGGACATCCGTAACGCCAAGGGAACCGAAATTGCGTTGCCGGTTTCTAAGGGAAGAGGAGTACACTACTTAAAGGCCCCTAAGTTGTAAGTGCGTGGATATACTGCTGGGACAGAGAAGTCCAAAATGGGGCTGTGCAAGGAAAAAAGTAAAAAAAGAATCAAAAATAGTTACCTGTATGTACAGAACATTATCTGGAGTAGGTCCCAGAGGAACTGTGACCCGGCCAGCCTCCACTAAGGAGAAAATATATGCCAAAATAGTGGCATGCATTGTCAGGCCGGCACCATGTGACGTGTCTGTTACCACACTGAACACATGTTCTAAAATATCACACAAGTATGTCTGGTAGAAGCTCTGTGCAGCTTGAGGATGTTGCTCAACATTTTGGAGTAATCGGAATAATATTTGTAGACCAGTATCAGCCACATTTCTCATTGTATGTTTAAATGCCCAAATTATGGAATCCAAAACTAATTTAAACTGTGCTGGTGGTATACTCAGGAATGCTTTGAAACAATGAGTATTAACTGCCTGCAGCAGCAAGAAGAATTCTGTTCTGTGCTCTGGATATTCTTCAAAGTCTTTGTTAATCATCTCTAATGTACATTCAAAAACAGCATCAAAAATTTTTGGTACCTCAGAAGTAATATGCCCTCCAAGTTTATACACTATAGCAGCCATACAAGAGAGTACCTCTGGTTCTCTCGCATCAGGTACAGCTGTCCTCTGATAGTCTAATAGAACAGCATCAAGAAGAGGTGGAATGAAGTTTTCTAATACCATACTATTATCTGTAGACCGGGAAACCCAACTTGCTATCAATTTCAAAGTCTCTTTCTTTATTATTCTCATGTTCTTAATAAGGGGCTGTTTTGTTACTGCTACTCCATTTAAAGTGATAGCTTGACTGATATTTTCAGACATAACCTTGTAAACATTAAGCATGTCTAAATATATTCTTCCAAGTTGTACAACATAGGGATGTCCCAAAGCACGACAAGCACGTACATTCGTCTTTAGAATACTCACTAGCTGTTTGACAGCCTCGGCATCTTTTAAAACATCAACATTATGTGATGCTTGAGATATTATATCATCCCACACTTGATTAGGAAGAACCATGTACCTTTCAATGAGCTGTTCTTGAGCCACCTGGTCTACCTGTGCACTTATCATGTACCCAACGGCTTCATACACAGTCTGTACTTGCAATGGTTGCAAATCACAAATTATCGAGCTGATAGTACTTAATATTTCTTCAATAAATGGGCATGCTTCCCCTACTTGGGTGGTGACAAAATGACGACGACATTTTAATGCTATTTTTATGAAAGTATCACAAGCCATATCTTGAACACCATCATGAGTTTCATGCATAAACTCAAACAGTTTGTTTACAACTGTTTTCAAAAATTTCCAATGGGCTCTCAAGAAACGTGGATATTGCCCAACGACATACATAATGTTACTGGCAATAATGGCTTTGTTATCTTTACCTTTTTTCTGTTCACATAACCCCAAAAGATCTTTAATCACAACAACTAAGAACCGTTTTTCATCTTCTTCCATCATAGCTCCAGATATTGATCCAATAGCCCAGCAAAGTGTATTAAGGTTTTTCCATGACCATTCAGCTCCATTTACTTGATTTTGTAGTTTCTCTGTCATGATACGTTCAGTATCTTGGTAATCTAAATGGGTAAGGTAAACAAGTGTTTCTCTCATATTTTTATACAAATTTATTGAATCAGTATCCTTCATAAATTCTCTGACAACTTCACCATTTTCATTTTCCACAACAAGAACTTCTTCTGGTCTTGCCATTCGAGATATCATTATATAACGAACACTGCTAAGCACATCGGCATATAATGCTTTCCGACCCATGCTTTTCCCAAGGCTATATAGTCCACCTGAATGAGAACATGGTGCTATCTTGTACAAATCAGTAGCCAATGCATTCCAAAACTCTAAGCAAATTTTAAAGATTTCTACCTCTTCTACTTCTGAAATCAATACAAGGTAGCGAAGAGCATCCATAAGGGTATTAGTTAAACCTCTTCGCTCTATAAGTTGTCCATGCTCTTTTAGATAAGTACAAAGGAAGAGGGCCAAATTTTGTATGAATATTTGTTCCTGATCTCTACCATTAGCATAGGCTTCTCTAATGTTGGTATTACGGGGCAGCATCACCTCCAGTTGCTCCATTGTTTGCACCAGTAGGGCTACAAATTGGTCCTCATAGTTGCTGACAGTCACACCAGCTATTTCAGTCAAACAACTTAATGTCACATTACGGAACATTGGAACATTTAAAAACTTAAAGATTAAAGTGCTTATCAATTTCATTTCAAATATGTAACCAAGAGGAATCCAATTCAAAAATCTTAGCAAGGTATGCAGAGTGGCATCAACCAATGGTGCATTTTGTGAATTTTCAAGAACAAACTGACAAAGTTGAAAAATCTGGCTAAACTCAGAACACATAGTATCTTTGAGATGCTTAGCTTTTGTTTGAGTTAGTTGGCCAGTGCTGAAAACAAATACTTCTTCACTAAGCAGCTTCAGTATCACCATGTTGTTTTGACAGAGACTCTCATTTGTCTTTGATGCTCCAACAATGTCACTTACAAAAGTCTCCCAGTTGTGTGGCCATTCTCTCTTTAATACTTGTATTAAAATCATGTTAAGTTTTTTTAAATACACTTTATTATTTTCCATGGTTGCTGGGTCTGATGAGTTTTTAATTATCAATCCAACAATGTATTTTTTGATACCTTCACACTGATTTCGTGGCAAAACCTTCCATCGTGTTTGTATAACCTGCTCCAAAATTTGTAAAGCATAGTATTTAGTTTCTTGATTCTGGGAAAATTCCAGTATTGTGTCGACTCTAGTCCAAGCGTCTGGATGCTCCTTATGTGCTGTAAGAATGTCTTGTGCAATACGTTGTTGTTCCCCAACAGACGAATACAAGCAGCCAACAATAGTATCCAGTAAATTAATATCTAATTTTTGATTAAAGTCCAAAAGCTTGGTGGCTTGCTGCTCCAGTGCTGACATTTTTATGTTTATATTAAATTTTGTTTTGATTTAAAACCCTTATGTAAAATCAAAAACTTACTGAATTATTCACATTCATTCCATATAACATGACATACTGAAAGAAATAAACGTACAATTAGAAAGGGAAAAACAAGCTATAACCTATAAATGGTACTTAGGTGACTCCAAAATAACATTGACAATATTTAACATGGAAAACTCTTCAACATGTATGAGTTGTACCGTTTAGCGACAAAAACAAATACTTATTTAAATAAAAAGCATTAATAAATCAAGCACACACCCCGTACGATTATCAATGACGTTTTTGTCGAAATGTACATTTGTGTTTTAAAACGACTCGAAATATTTAATGCCACATAACCATATAACATATTTTATTGAATATACATGATATAACTCACCATCAAATCTATTTTGCGGCGTAATAAACCAACTGCACTTCCATTCACACTAATCCGTTGTTTTCGTGAAGCTTGAAAAGCTAACATACATGTCGTCGTTAAGTCTATGCACAAAACATAGATAATTGATATACTCTGTCAGTACACGGCTCAACAGACAGACAATGGTTTTAACTTTTCTATATTTATATTATGACTGTGTAAAATACTAAAAATCCTTAAATTAATGATACTTTAAATGCTTTACTCTTATATTATAACTAATATTTAGTTGTAATTAAGCTTTTAGAATCTACCCTTTGTTTTTAAAGGTTCAGTAAGAGCTTCAGAAACTAAGAATAATCACATTAAAAGAGCGATTCAAGTTAGAATGGTACGCCTAAAAGGTAAACCCGTATTATTTTCTAACATAATGTAAACTAAAGATATTGTGTAAAATTAGTACAAAAATGTCTTTATGCCTGGGTAACACTAAGCCAGTTAGTAAAACAATGGAGCTGAACTGGACTGGACTATGTTGACATTAGTGTTTACGGCCTTAGTTTCGGTTTAGGCCAAAATGTAACCGAAACTCGAGTGTTCGTGTATTTTAATCGAAAATTTTATTTTTAAGAAACAAAGAACTTTGTCTGTTGAAAATTGTGGAACAGAAATTACAACGCTTCGGATCCGTCGATTGACAACACAGTATATACATACATTGTTAAAAACACCCTAAAATTCACTACATCAACGTAATCTTATGTGTTTTCGGAAATGTGACTTTCGGTTTCGGTTGCGGCCGAAACAGAAAATAGTACTGAAAGTGCGGTTTCTTTTTTTTTTCGGCTAAAAAAAACAGTTGGGGTCGGACACTAAAAAAATACACTATTTGTCATTAACTATAGCTCTATCCAGCTGTCCTTATTCCGACTTCAGAAGTATATACTTTTAATTATCGACAAATATAAACTTTTACAAATTAAAAACTGCAAATATAGTCACTGGAACCACTTTTTTTCCCAATTTGCATTCCAGATAAAAATTTCCAATGAGCACACTTGCGGACTAAAGACCCAATTCGTCTCAAAAGTAAAATGTTACGCCTGTTATCCGGCTAGCATGCTCATATGCTCACTGTCACATGTGTATATACATTATGCCAGTTGCACATCTGTACTGATTTTCAGTTCAACTGGCTTACTGTGTTAGTGTAATGTAAAACTGTCTACTTATCTACTCTTTGTTACTATATGGACGAACTTCGAGTGTTATTGATAATTTTATAGTTTCTTGCATTTTCTTCAATCGTTTATAATTTTTAACATAAATACTACATTTTACCTGTTAATTTAACAACTGAAATATAAAGGTTTAACAGATATATGTGAATAATTTAAACAACTCACGATATTGTTCATATTTTAAATGTAAGTACAAAATTTAAGAGTAGAAATCTTCAAGTGTTTATGTTATATTTTCGTACTTTTGATGAATGATGATCTTAGTCCAGTATTTTATCTTTTTTGTATTTTTTTAGTACTAAATTGTTTTTAGTAGTAATCAAAACAATAAAACTTTTCAGAATAAGCCGAGTTTCGCGTTCGCACACAAAAAAATGAACCGAAAAAGAAATGTTAGCTACATCAAGCCAGAGGATCCTCATTTCCTGAAAATGCTAAAAAAAGAAGCAGGATATGATGATACAAATCATAAGTTTGATAAACTAGAAAATAAAGATGAGGATTTTGTAGACGATGAAGAAAGTGAAAAACCTCAGGTTGTTGTTTTAAAAGATGGAGATCTCACTGCAGAAGAGGCAGAAGTTGAGACTAAGAGATTAGAGAAAGAAAAGAATGAAACTAAAGCTGATCTCAGTCAAAAGGTTATTTTTCAAGCTAAATTAAAACCCACAATGTTGCCTGATAGTAAGAGCCAAAAAAGAAAAAATAGGGTGAGACAAAAACCCAGTAGTCAACTTTTGTCATTTGCGGGTGAAGAAGATGTGGGTGAATGAAAATGAAAAAATGATGAAGTATATTTTTGTTGTATCTCAATTTTTTGCCCAAACCTTGCACTTATTGCAGCAAAATATGTAATCAATTTTGAATTATAATATGTAATCATAGCTATAATTACCATTATCAGTGTTGTGTGTAGTTTCAAAACATGTATATTATATAATACCTTAATTATTGCAAACAAAAATATTGATAACACATTGTTTCAATTCAGTCTAAATAAGCTGTTTTTCTAATTCATAATGTAAGATTATATTATCTTTAAAATGTGTACTTTATAAAAATGTATGAATAATTTTTAGTTATTATTTAGTTTTTCATTTTACCAAAAACATTCAGTCCAATGAAACTGTAATTGATTAATGTGTTGAACTGTAATCAGTTATTGTGATCATTCAAAGTTAATAGAGGTGTTCACAATCAACAATTGTGATTAGGTCTTATTTGTATACCCTTTAGTGAAGCTAGCCAAATACCAATCATGTTCTCAGGTGAAACCTGAAGTTAGCCACTCTCCAAAAACAGACCATCCAAAAATAATGTAGGGCCAGATTTAAAGATGCAAGCAAGAATGGGATATATGGACCAATTTGAAGAGAAGTGGCAGTGTAACAGCAGAGGATTAAAATATCAGCCTAGTTTTTAATGTCATTGCTGTATGCAATAGGAAAAATAAACAGTCTATCTTGATGTATTTGAGAATGAAATTAAACAATGTTTTATGTCTAAATATTGAAGAAAGTACATATAGATACTTTTTGATTGGATTAACTTAAAGCACTAGATATGTTCTTTCCGCCATCTTCAAGACTTCGTCTTTTCTTAGGTTTGGCTTTTGAACCATTATGTGTAATAGATTCAAATCTACTTTGTTGTGTTTCAGATTCATTTTCTAATTCAAGTAACTTGCGCAACAAAAATTTTCGTTCATCTTTTACAATTAGTATGTTTTCTTGGATTTTTGCCACTTCATCACACAATGCTGCGTTTTCCTAAAAAAAAAATGTTTTTGAATACCAATTTAAGAAATAGCCTGTACTATATCCAATATTTAATGATGTTTTGGGTAAGGGTTAAGGTTCTACACAATCTTACTTATACTATCATAATAACCTTCACGGTAAATTAATTTTGCTGCTGTTTTATAAGTAAATAATAAGTTAGGTACTCAAATTCTTAAGTATAGCAGCAAATTTCTCAATGTCTATTCATGTACTTAAAGGAAGGAAATTATTGTACTTATCATAAAAAGAAGACCTTGATGAAACTTACTATAATTAGGCTTTTAATTCTTTTTTTCATATGTTTATATTTCTTATGATAACGTATAATACGGTTCTCGTTGGTACTGTTCATGTGATCAATTATTTAAACCTTTTCAATAGTAGTCCATGAAAATATCTATTTAGAAAAATGCAATTTTGAAATGTGAACAGTTTGTTGCCAAAAATAGTATTTATTTTTGAATAAATTGAACAAAGAAAATGTTCAAGCCAGTTCAAACTTAACGCGAACTGGCATTTGTCTGTCAAATTTTGACATTGACGGACACCCTGAATGAAAGATTAAAAAATTAAAAAAACTCATGGTTTAGTTTTGGTAGTTGGTTAAAAAGATCAGAGTAGTATAAACCAATAGAATCATTAATCTTATTAGAAATCAACATTAACTAAGTACTTATTGAGAACATTTTTAAAACATTTCTTAACGTCGATTAGAAGCTTAAGTCTTTGGTTTTGTTTTTATGTTATTCCTTTTTTATATTTCGTCTGTGGCAGCCGGCGTACTGAAATATTGTTGTGTTTTGTGTATGCTAAATAAATTTATTTCTGCAATTATTATAAATAATGTAATATAAATAATGTCAAACATTTCGGAATATAAACATTTTTTTCCTATAGACAGCATTAAAAAAGTTTGTACTATTTTTGAGGAACAATTGCGCAGTGAAAAAGAGCCGGACCTTGCCTTGTTTTCCATAATAGTTGGAGCGGTGGAAAACAACTTAACAAATGTGAAAAACAGCGATAAAGATGTTAATTTGGCGACTAATAAGTTTGTTAAAATGAAATTCCCTTCTATAGAATGGGAGGAAGTGAAATCTCTATATGATCGTTTTGTTTCTTTGATGAGAGCAGGTGTTGACGCAAAGTTACTTAATGGGGAATATGCTACTCGTGATTTAGTTAAGCGAGTAGCAGATGTTGTATGGAATTCTTTGACTCGAAGTTATTATAAGGACCGGGCCCATCTTCAATCAGTTTACAGTTTTTTAACTGGAAACAAACTCGACTGCTTTGGTGTTGCTTTTGCAGTTACGGCGGGATGTCAAGTTTTAAGTAAAATGGATGTTCATCTCGCACTATCAGAAGATCATGCTTGGGTTGTGTTTGGAAAAGATGGCACAGATACAGCGGAGGTATTTATGTCTAATTTTAAATTTGTAGTGAAATAGTGGGGCATGGAATCGGTCTTCTTGGCGATCATTGGAAAATCGTCTACCTGTGTTGCTTGAAAAATAATGTTTATAGAATATCTAATGTAAATAAAAATGTAGTAATTGGGCAACTGTTCATTTTTTGCAAAACTTTGTTTATAGGTTACATGGCATGGTAAAGGCAATGAGGACAAAAGAGGCCGTTCAGTGGGAGATGGTGTTTCAGCTCGGTCATGGTTGTATGTGGCTGGGAAACCTGTTGTGTGCACCCGCATGATGGAACTGGCTGCATTAGTATCATCTATCAATCCAACTTTGACACCAACAATTGATGTTCATGAAGTGGCTCAAATGCAACATAGGCTTCTCTGGCTCCTGTATGATAGTGGTATGTTTATTATCTACATTAAATTATTTGTATGTTACTGAAATTGTTCATGACAACTTAATGTAAAACAACAAAATCTTGAATTATTATGTATTGGAATATTTTAGGTCATTTAGATGCATATCCCATGGCTTTAGGAAATCTGGGAGACTTGGATGAATATATGCGAATTTCAAATTGCTCGGAAAGTACAGAAGATACATTGATATTGGAAGAAAATGGTAGTAGACCTTTAAGGCCGGACTCAGCAACTTTATATATTCAAGCTATTAGATCTGCGAGAACATATTATGATGATAGACATGTGTATCCTTACACATTTCAAGGGGGCTATTATCACCGGCATAAGATGTACAAAGAAGCATTTAATGCATGGGCATGTGCTGGTGATGTTATAAGACAGTAAGTCATTTTATTCAACAACATTAATATTTAAATATTAATACTGACAATGTACAGCTTATTTATTTACTTTTTTAAAAAAACATGAAAATGTCTTTATGAATAACTCATTTTTTTTAATGAAATAATAGGATTATTATGTTTTTTTTTTCAGTTACAACTATTCACGTGATGATGAAGAAATATACAAGGAATTTGCAGAAATTGCAAATGAATTAATTCCACAACTGATGAAAGCTGAAAGTTCAGGACATTCAGCGAGGTCCATTTTAAAAGATCCAGAATGTTTTTCATCTTTACTAAGGTTTGTTATAAATTAGTCATGTTTTTCATAACTATTTATTTGAAACAAAATGTTCCATTTTCCTTGTTACTCACGAATTGAGAATGTATGAATCCCTTTTAAACTCACTTGATAACTAATTCAAATATCTTAATTCAAGATTCTATGACGGCATATGCAAGTGGGAAGAGGGCAGTCAAACTCCCATTCTACATATAGGTTGGGCAAAGCCTCTTGTTAGCACTATATCTAAATTTGATGCTGAAGTGAGGGCACAAGTGCAAATCATATGCAGCCCAGACAGTGAGGAGCCAGAAACACCTGAAGCAAGAAAAAACAATGATACTGAAGACACACATGTGCAGAAAAATAACGATCAATGGAATAATAACTCGGATAACATAGAAATGAGTGTCCGTGAACAGCTAACGGCCGCTGTAAACAGTAGACCACGTGTTACATTGTACAGTCACAAAATGGCTGCATTAAAGCCTTTATTGCTAGCTGAGAGATTAAATACACATGCCTTACAGCTTCAATTAACTGCCCAAAGTCAGCTGCAAAGGCCCCCTGCACCAACTAAGAGAAGAGATGATGATGATCATACTCCTGCGCCAACTGCGAGAGCCAAACGCGCACGCCGAGAACGCTAATATAGTTTAAAGCAGGTAAAAAATAAGCACAATTCATTTTCGGTTAAAATAATGTATTTTCCTTAAAGTTCATTGATATCTAAACAATGTTTAGCAAAAATGTCAAAAACAATATTTTGCTAATTATTTAGCAAGTTTTATGTTTTTTTGTGTTAATGACTATGATTACAACTGTCTGTCGATGGTAATATGAGGTTTTAATGTGACATACTAAGATAGTAGTAGAAAGAAAACAAAGGGACAAAAATAACAAAATATTTTCTATATTGTTATATTGAATGGACATAGGTGGGCGATTTTCATTCATGTTGTTTCCTTTGAAAGAATTCATATGAAATAATGTGAATAAATATTAACTTCACACTTTAACTAAACCTTAGTGTAGGCCAGTGCTGGACACCGGCCTCTCCTATTTTAGGCTTTAGGATTAGTCAATGGCCTTAGAGTGTGACTATATTGTATTGCTAAACGTAGTTAGTCTTGCAAGCAAACCAGTGGGTGCTACTGGCCATCTCCAGCTTAATATAAAATTTAGAGTGTAAATGTAAACTTTTTAAAACATTATTTTTTATAAAATTATTGCAACATTATATCTCCCAACATTTTACTTAGTAGTTGCGTAATTTCCCCACTGTGATAAATAATAACGTGTTTGATTTGTATTTTATTTTATTATGAGATAAAAACGTTTTTTAAACTAATTACATGGCAACAGTGCCTTATGTTGCTGAAAATTTACCTCCCCTATTTCCATGAACAATTTATATAGATTGAAGTAATTTTTTTAATAATTAGTACCTATTATATTTATTAATATTAATATTTAACGATTTACTTAGTAGTAGAAGCATGACAATCTATTAGTATTTAAAAAGTTAGGATTAAAAATCGCAAGTCTATTATTGCCATATATACAAAATTGACAATGACTTTGTTACTTAAATTAATTCAATCATGCCCATGTTTGATTAAGAATATAAAATATTAGACTTTGAGGCCCCTTAAGCCCATTACAAACGCTTAGAACTGTCAGAACTGACCGTCTGTACTGGACTTTAATCACCCTATATTTACAATAGTTTTTATATTCCGAGTCAAGCTATAAGTGCCGCCTATCAATTAATTTGCATATTGTTTATTTTGGCCCAAACCGGTCTTTTGTTATTCAAACTGAAAAGTTGTTATAATAGCATAAGTAAATATGAGTGAGCTTTGCTGAAAAGTTTTGATTTTTTTCTAATAATCGATTTTTTTTTGTAACTTTTTTGCACTTGTTATAACTTGTTCCAGTTAAAACTTGGTTGTTAATCCCATTAACCTAGATGGTTATTTGTCATATTTTTATTGACTTCTTAAATGGTGATAGTGCTGACATTCCGCACATTTTCCACACTTGAAACTTATATTTGTAAATTTCTGTGATGTTAAATATTATAATATACGCGACAAGTCTAGGTTTGTATGAGAACATGTTCGCAACCGCATTGTAGTGAGAATAAAAAAAAACTGTTTCTCATTTTGGCTGTATTGCGACTATCGCATAAGCATTTGGGCTCATAAAAAATCATAGATTCGTGTCGCGTGTAAATATTGTGAATGTACTTCAAAGGGGTTGCAAAAGACTGACGAATGGTAAATTAACATTCGTTCGATTTGGTTGTAATGTACAAAATGCGTTCAAATTAATATAGAAAATTGTTGTTCTTATTAGATACCTTTAAATATTTTTACTCTATGAACTTCTTAGGTCTTAGAGACAAGTGAAAGTACTTAACTCTAGGTGTGGTGTAATCCCACTAGCGCATTTAATTGTGAAACTAAGTATTAAGATTAATATTTTGTCCGCAATTGTTAGAAGTTTCAATATTCCAAAGAAGTAAAAAGAATATTAATAAAAAAAAGTATAATCAATCATTAACTTATTCTGATATAAATGTATGACATGATGGGTGTAAGATTATTAGATTTCATGCATTTTAATAATTTTTGTGATAAGTTAGTTGTGTAGTGTTAATTTTAAACTATGTTTGCATTTATGACTTTAACACATGTGTAATATGATTACAAATTACTAATATTTATGAGCATACAATCGATATTTTATCAATATTTTTTAGAGAATCGAAATTTTAATGTTGTTACGTTACAACCATCATTGTTTTATTTTCCGTATATTCTGTTACGGATATATGTCCCTTATGTGTACAAATGATTGATGATTTAATAATAATGCATTGTTTGTTAGTGTTTAACACTTGCGTAAATTTACTGGTATGAAGCTGGTTTAAAAATGTAATATTTTAATAAATTTAATAAAATAATTTGTTGTATTTTAATTTTTTTCTATCACCTTCCTCGTAGTTCCTTTTCCACGATCTGCGTGGTTCTACGGTGTTAATAACAACTGATTGTCTACAATTGCAAAGATACACTGTCTGTTGCTGTTGCTAAAGTATTCATAGTCCGTACAAACTCGTACGTGCGTATTATATAATTTTTTGCATCAATATAAAGTTTTTCATTTATCCAGTGCAACATTATTGTACCAATAGGCATAAAACTTACTAGCTTAGTCGTGACTAGTGTCTAATACTATAAAGCCACTAGTCAGAACTCTCAAAAATTGAGGAATTGCTTGATCCCTTGCCAATTTTATGGGATGGGGGAAATTAGTTGTACTTTGTCTAGTGGTAATTGGTAATCCATAACGTCGAGCAACCACAAAAGCATTGTATTTGCTATCTTCTAAAATAACAGTGGTTGAAACAGATTTAATATCTTCGATCGAACAAAATTACAAAATACTTTGAACTTTGAATTACCATAGATACAGAGAATATTATATTCTATGTTGTTGACCCATAGAGCTAAATAGACTGTGTGTTTTCCTCCCTCCCCTCGTTTCCCTCGTTAAAGTTATAAAAAGTTTTGTGACGTGTATGTTTTGTTTCTGATATGTCTAGATTTTAAATATTGCGTTGTAAATAATGGTGTCAATGGATATAGTTAGCATTAAAATTAAATCATTTACATAAGGATATGACAGCGCATTTTAATTTAGACGAAGTTGTTAAACACATAAAAACTATTTCAGATAATAATCGTTGTAGAGTTTGGTAAGACTTGTTTTGATTTCGCAAATAGTTTGCTAAAACTACGTTTTGAATTCACATCTGTTTTACATTTCTAGCGATAAACTATCTGGCGATAGACTGCGATACCCTTGCGGACACACAATATGTGGCGAATGCGTATTAGTAACTGATGAGTGTTTAACTTGTACTACATCTTCGAAAACACAGCCTGCGGTTGACCTGGTTCAGGGGCAACTTGTACAAAATGTTTCAAATCTTCTAACTACATTTCAAGAAGCCTTTAAAATAGATGGTAAATATCTTTAGACATTACTAGTATTGATATATTAAATAACATTGGTTAAATCAGGTATAACAGACGTTTAACAATACAATATTCTTATTTGCAGTATACCGGAGATACAGACTTTCTGAGAAATTGAGAATTGAAAATCAATTATTCCCGGAATGTATTCAAGCTTCTGCAAAATATTATAACAAAAGGAGGAGTTCTAATATCAGAACAAGTGATGATAAAGAAAATTTATTATCATCATTTTATGCTGGTGAAGAATTAAATAAGTCCTATTCTACAACAATGAACACCAGAATAAATTTAGTACAAAAATGGCTTGAAAAAAATGAAAAAGTGGAAAGACCTATAAGAAAGCCATTTTCAGATGTGAATGTAAATAATTCATATAGGAGCAATACAGAAAATAAGATCAAAAAAGGTCTTAAAGCCCATAATCAAGAAAACAATTTAAATAAGAAATCAAAGAAAGTAAACAAAGATAGGAACATTTCTAAAACTAAAAAAAAATCAAAGAATGTGTCAAGTCCATCTTTGCTAGACTATTATAAGAATGAAACAATAAAAAATAAAGCCAAGCCAGAGAATATACTAAATTTTGACAAAAAATATGATATGTCATCAAAAGTAGTTAATGATAATAAGTATGAAAATAATACTGATGTTGAATATATTGACACTATTGTTATAGAGGACACACAATCACAAGTTGTTGACAAAGACAGAGATGCATGGCTAAAAGTTGTTGAAGAACACAATAAAGAATCAAATAATTTTAAGGACAAACTAAAAAGCTCAGAACAAATACTTTTATCTGAAACTCAAATTGAATTAATACCACCCAGTGTTAATAATAAAAAAAATGTTGTTTATTACAAAAAGGCTTACCTTTTTAAATCATGTCATTCCTGTTTAAGAAATGATGTCGAGAGTGTTAGAGCAGAAAATCAGAGGCTAAATTCTAATGTATCAATTACTATTAATACAAACAGTATTTCAAGCACTATTAAAGTTTTAAGAGATGATGAAAATTTTAATAGTAAAGTAATCAAACACTCAATAGAAACTCAGACAGAGGATTTTAATCACATATCCCCTTCGTATGAGAATATTTCTAGTCCAGATTTATTTTTAGATGATGTAAAAAAACTAGAAGACATTGATAAAGAAAACTTGAATGATAAAGACATTGGAATAATTGATAATTCCATTTCTCATAACATAAATGATTCCGACAGTGATGATATGGAATGTAGCGGTCCAATTAAAGTGTCTGTGGATGTTCACAGATCTAATGACACGTAAGTTTTTTTTATATAATATAGGTAGTAATCAAGCAGTCACCTGATATTTGTACTTATAGGCATTTGCAAATAAATTTTTCTGTTCCATCATTACCTTTAGCCAAAACATCGTGACATTTGGCGACTTTATGGTACCAGTGCTGTAAGCACAAGTGCATTTTCATATGAAAAAATGGCAGTGCCAAGCAAATGTAGATCATTTTATAGTTCTGTGTTATATGCCTCATATATTCTTACTAATATAATCAATACGAAAGTTTAGGCGGATGACCATATATCTCAAGCATGAGTCAATGGATTATGCTGAAATTTGTCATACACGTAGAACTTAGTGTCATAGAACACCTAGCTTACTGATTCAGTTTTTTTAAGGAAAGTATGGAGTAATGGGTAGCTAGTAATAAGATAAAATTGTGTGTGTTTATTTGTGTTTTTCACAATTTTCGCAGGGAGGGTATTCTATCTACGTTAGACTCTGCAGATTACCATTCCCGAGTGAGGCGGTCAGCGCGTCGGCCCACAGTTGACAGCAACAATTCCTCGGAAAAAGAAAATCTGGAGCCAAACAGGATTAAACGACGAAGACTAGGCAAGAAACACGGACTTAAGAAATGATGGATTATTATCTTAAAAAAAAATCCTGTTACATTACTGATTTTTCTTTGGGCAATAAGAAGTAGACCCGTTTCATGAAAAGAGTTACATCTTTAAGATCTCTTAAAATATGTAACTCTTTTCATCGGATGCATCAGAGGTGTTGTACATATGTAGTTCTATTATTGAGTATGAAAGAATAGCAGGTTTTATTACTGTTTAATATAAATAATTGAAGATTTTATTAAACAAACTCGAATATAATTTAAAAATGAGAATAAAGTGATTGCAGAACAGCAGACTTATTGTCATAGTTGATGTTTTGATTTCAAGGTATCTTATTCTTTAATGGTCAAATAAAATGTTTACATGTACCATTGTTCCCTACCTCACCCTCTGTATCGCAGACTTGTTCAAGTAAGCTCTACAAATGATCATATTACATTTTCCTTGTATTTTAGTTTATAACTATATTTCTATTAAATTAATTGCAGTCATCTTAAAAAGAATCTAAAAAGGGTTGAAATTTGAAAGAGTGATGTTTTATAAATTTTTGAAAAAATTCGAATTCACTACTTTTATGATGTTACTATCTTGCGCCCGTGATTAAATTCTCGTTACTCGTGACTAAATTAGTGTATTCAGCGATTTCATTCAAAGACATTTTATTTTATAAAGTGATTTTTTTTTCTGATTATGTAAAACATTGATAATTATAATTTTAGTATGTATATGTATTTATTTGTGATAAGTTAATACCAGTAATTAATGTTTTAAGATATACTTTTATTATTGATTTGTACTTCTTATTCTAATCCAAAACATAAAGTTTGTAAACAGTTTAAACTACATACTTTTATGTAAAAAAAATTTTATACATGTTTCTGATGAAATGTGGTCCATTTACCTTAATTGCATAGTACAGCTATGTACTAAGATATGTTTTCAGTGTCATTTACAAACTTTATGTTTTAAATTAGAGTAATGCTGTATGTATGTTAGCTGTATGGTCTGTACAATCAGTAAAAAGCTGGGATGAAATCCCAGTTATGAAGTATGATTGACCAATAAAATGGTGATAGAATCACCTGTCAACTTAGTTTTTATGGACCAAATTTAGGTTTAAACATCGCAATAGTTTTAATTTTTGCTCTTCCGTTGATGCTTTTCGGCTTTGACAAATTATTTTTTTTATTTATTTGTACTACAGAGGCATAAATTAAACCAAAAAGCAAGATCATCGTGCTTTACTTTCTAGGTGTAAGTTGTATTGTTAAGTTGAACAAATATGTTGAAATATATATTTTTTTTAATAAATCTGTCATTTATTTACACAAATACCTTTTCTAGTTGATAGAGACTCAATTTACTTCCGTTAAAATAAGCGTCGCGGACAATTCAGTCACTAAATATGTCGGTTTTATGGTCAAGAGACGATAAGAAACAGCTATAAGATGTTTCAGGCTATATTGACGGTATCAACATTTTTGTTAACTGTTTAACAAAATATGTTATGCGAGATCGATTAACTTTCTAGAGTCACCGTCGAGTTGGGAAGAAAGGGTCAATATAAAAGACAGTAATATGTTGATATGTTAAAATATATTAAGTCGAATTTGTACTATAGAGAAGATCACCACCAGCCCGAAGAGCCGCCGCCGCTGGACCAGCCTCCGCCACCGCCGCCGCTCTTCCAGCCGCTACCACCGCCGGACCAACCTCCGCTACCACCGCCGAGTTTCCAGCCGCCACCGCCTCCTCCTCCGCCGAGTTTCCAGCCACCTCCACCTCCACCGCTTGACCAACCGCTGCTACCTCCGCCGAGCTTCCAGCCGCCGCCTCCGCCTCCGCTAGACCAGCCTCCGTGACCGCCACCGTATCCACCGCCGTAGCCGCCGCCTATAATGTAACCGAACATGAAACTGCTGCTCTATTGCAATCTTTACTAAGAAAATATTAAGTTTTTTTATTACTTATCAAAGGCGTTCGAGTTCAATATTCCGTATTATTTTTTCGTTAACCAAGCATATTATGTTTCTAATATTAGAACACTGAATACATTAAGCAATCATACAAAAGGATATTACGTTAAACCTTGAACCCAGCAGTAATCACGGCTTTACAAATATGAGAAAAAATATGGTCGATTTTGGCGCGTAATAATGGGCATTGCATAATCTATACTGATGAGTGAACGGATGACCCCAGTCTACCGCGATCTTTTGACCTCTCTTGTGTACTAACTACTAACAATTTTATCCGTGATCAAAATAATTATTTCCGAAGTATTCTACTAATAAGCATGTTTACTTTAAATATGTTATTTTAATCTATATTTGTAACCGCGAGTTTCCACTGTCTAATCTCTATTATCTCTGTTTTTCGAATGAAAATAAGGGAGATAACATTACGTTCTTGTACTATTAATAAGGCAGTGAAAACTTAAGGTAAGATTTGCAAAATGTCGGGCGTTTAAGCTCCACCGACACGACCTAGATCATAGTTGTGACTGTTTCCTGTATTACAGCAACCTAAGCTTTCTGAAGATAGATCGCCAGTACTTGTGCAGTGCGCTCCGTTAGGTAACATCCATACATATTTATAGAACGCTTTACGTATAAACACGTTTTATAGCAATTTATGTGGTGATTTAACGATAATGTCTCTGGATTGGAGACCCGACTTCCTTTTGACAACCTTATAAAAGTTTTAAAATGTAACTATAAAAAAATCTTATTCATTTTTCTTACCGAATCCGCCGCCACCTCCACCTCCGCCGGTGGTGATGATTTTGATGATTTTCACCTCTGTAGATACAAAAAAAAATGTAATACGTTTCGAAATTGAATTTTATAATTAATAGAAGGTTGATGTTCACCTATATTAAGACTTGCAAGATAAACGAAACAGAGTTACAAAGCAATAATAATTCACAAATTGTTGACAACTAACCTATTGAACTGGTTGAAATAGAATATGAGTCACCATTACACCACGATCAATCCATCATTATGACACTATTAAATTATCAGAATTAAGGTCCAAACGCTTGAATGTCAATAGGGGGTTGAAAAGAATTGTATTCCTTACGTCCACCACCGCCGTGTCCGCCTCCGCCGAAGCCGC